ATCTATCTATCTATCTATCTATCTATCTATCTATCTATCTATCTATCTATCAGCATATCTATCCCTATAGGATTATGGGCTTCTCAAGGGCAGGGCTACAGATTGTTTTAATTGTCCTAGCCATGATGGTCTTTATTGAAGTGTTTCCCAGATCTCTCATCACAGCACAGAGATGAGTTCTTGGTAGATCTCTTAAGAGAAGACAATCTTGGGGGCAGCTAGTTGGTGCAGTAGATAGAGCACTGGCCCTGGAGTCAGGAGGATCTGAGTTCAAATGTGAGCTCAGACACATGACACTCACTAGCTGTGTGATTCTAGGCAAGTCACTTAACCCCAATTGCCTTAAACAAGAGAGAAGACAGTCTCGGGTAGGATCTACAAAACTAGGAACCCTTCAAGGATAGGCCTGGGGGTCAGCTGGGTGGCCATCACCCAAGATCCATTCTCTGCAAAGAACTGTATTCACAAAGGCTCAGCTCCAAAAGTCTGGTCACAAGGAGAGGACTATCTTTGGATATAGTAGCTCATTGAGACCATCTTCTAGAGCCTGGAGGGTCATTGATAGAAGAGGGCTTATGCTGATGAATCTGCAGATCTCTGAATGTGGATGTTTGTATTACTCATCAGTTCCAACACTTGATGACTTCCAAAGGCCTTTTCCCATCAGAATGGATCTCTTTTGAGCCACACACCCAGCAAGTTCAGAAATCCTGAATATTCAGACTCAAAGGGTCCTACTACTAGTTCTAACCTGGAAGATTGTGAACTCATTTTTTTTTGTGAACTCATTTTTAAAAATATGTAGATAACTATTTTAGTATAATTGATTTCCTTTGTAATCAGTTTTATTTTATATGCATGTAATATCATTAACCAGAGAAGGGGACCATTGGCTTCCCCAGACTGCCACAGGGGCCCATGACACAAACAAGGCCAAACACCTCTGCTAAACTGTGTAATTTGTGGGGGGAAAGTGTTGAACTTGGTGCAGGAGATGGCCTCAAATACATATCACCTGTATGACCCTAGGCCAATTGTTTCACTACTCTGAGCCTTGGTGTGCCCATCTAGAAAATAAAGATATTATGAATTATTTGTACCATCTGCCTTCCAGGGTTCTTAGGAGGAAAATGATTTGTAAAATTGAAAAGGCATGCTATGAAAGGACAAGTTGCTATTATTATTATCTCCAAGACTCTCAGTTGCAGAGCTAACATGCATCAGTAGAGATTTGTCCTCATCAGAGACGCATTGTCTCAATGAAAGCAGAAATCTATGCCAAGAATCTGTCTAATCAAATGTCCTAATTGTACAGATGAGAAAGCTGAGGCTTATGGAAATGAAGCGACCTGCTCAAGGTCACACAGTTACTCAGTGGCAGAACCAGGAGTAGAATCCAGGCTTAGGATCATTAGATCAGAGATTTAGAAATGGAAGCAACATTAGAGGTCACATCGAATCCAACTCCCTTATTTTATAGATGAAGAAATTTAAAATTTAACCAGAGAGGTTTAATAACTTGTCTAGAATAACACAGCTAATAGAAGCTGGATGGATTTGAACCCATCTTCCTGACTGCAGTTTCAACTCTCCATCACACTGTGCTACTTTGTTTCTGACTTAGAATCTAGTGCATTTGCCATTACACTACACAATTTCTCTCTCTCTCTCTCTCTCTCTCTCTCTCTCTCTCTCTCTCTCTGTCTCTGTCTCTGTCTCTCTGTCTCTCTCTCTCTCTCACACACACACACAAATACACACACTGAGCTTCTCTTTGTCCCATTTTTAAATACATATTCCCTAGAGAGGGGTAACAAACTATGTCCACACCTTTGAGCTAATCAGTCAACAATCATTTATTGCTCGTAAGCTATGTTCCAGGCACTGTCCTAGGTGCTGAAAAAAAAATCTATGAACCAGTCTCTACTCTCAAGGAGCTTACACCCTATTGGAGATATAGCACCTTGATATATAAGCAAATAAAGGAAAAAATACAAAATAAATTCAAAGGAGTAGAATAGAAGGTAGACAGGGAGGGAAATCACTTGTAATTGGGGGAGGAGGATCAGGAAAAGTTTCCTATATAGGTAGTGCTTGAACTGTGTTTTGAAGGAAGACAGTGATTGGTGGAGGGAGGATAGAACTGCATTCCAGGCATGGGAGACACAGCCTGTGCAAAGACAGAGATGTGGAAATGGGTTAATCAGACCTTTGGTTGGGGAGAGATCACCTCTCTGTGCTTATCTTCCCATTGTACTCCCATGTTCTTATTGTTCTTGTGCTCCCAGTCAGGTGGAAAGATCTTGGTTTCCTGAATCAGCTGTTGATCTGACTTGAGGTGTTAAATCCTATGTCCCAGGAAGCTATAAGTAGTTCTTTTGGGCTGCTCTTTTTAGTCCCCTATATCAAATGAGGCCTCTATGAGCTGGCTCTAGTAAAGTTTCACTCAGCCTAGACTGAGACATTGGTGAGATCCCCACTGAGATATGTGTGAGTAGATAAAAATGTGATTTGGAGGTCTGATTATCTTTGGTGGAAATTAGGCCTAGTTGCCAACTTTTGCTTTTTCCATCCCTTCTTCTAGATCTGATGAAAAAAAAAACCCATTAACAAAGGGTTTGTAACATCCCCCACTTTAGTTGGGGGCAGGTTAAATAAGCTATATTGAACAAGAATGGGCTTGAAAACTTTGTCAAATACTGTCCTTTCTTTTCTTTTTACTTTTGAGAGAATCCAAGGTGATTATGGATTATTCCTTTGGTGCCTCAATTTTGTCTTTCTATGGCATGGGTAGAATTTCTCTGTCCATTGAGGAAGGGAGTAGAGGGACGGGTTGAAGGACCTCTGATTATAGCATAATTATTATCCTGAGTGAGAACTATGTCTGAACTTCTGACACAGTTCCATTTCATTTTGTGGCCTGTAGCTTTGTGGGCCTGTTTGTGTGTCACTGGACCCCACAGTTTAGGGAAGTCTATGGGCCCCTTCTTAGAATAATATTTTTCAATTATTAAAATATAATGCAAAGGATTACAAAGGAAACCCATTAGTGAATGGACAAAGCTGATACTTAACTGGTATTTTCTTGTAAATTTACCTAAAAGAGGACCAATTCAAAGAGATCACAATAAACATGGACTAAGGTATATGCCTTTATACCTCACTTACCTAGAACACACTTACCTAACAATTTTGCCTATCTAGAATACAGAGAGAATACAAAATGAGCACAGTGGGCCCAAAGGCAGGATAAGTGACTTTCTATATATGTTGCCTCATTTAAAGTTCCATTCCCTGAACATGTATTAAATATAATTGCTCTGTGCTTGATATATGGGGCATTCCTCAGTATTTTAACATCTAATATTATCCTTAAGGGGTATGAGTCCCAGGGCTCTTCTAATTCAGGCAGGTGATAGAGTTGATGGAGCACTGGACCTGGAGTTAGGAAGACCTAAGTTCAAATCTGGACTCAGATACTTGCTACCTGTATGACCCTGGGCAAGTCACTTAATTTTGTTTGTCCCAGTTTCCTCATCTATAAAATGGGGATAATAATAACACCTACCTCAGGGTTGTTGTAAGGGTCAAATAAGATATTCGTAAAGCACCTGGCACAGAGTACACACTTGATAAATACTTATTCCTGTCTTTGGTCCAGGTGTTCTTAACCTTGTGTATGTCATAGGACCCTTTGACAGTAGAGAATCCTATGGACCCCTTCTTACAATAATGTTTTTATTTTTTAATTTTCATTTATTTATTTATTTATTTTTGGTGAGGCAGTCGGGGTTAAGTGATTTGCCCAGATTCACACAGCTAGTAAGTGTCAAGTGTCTGAGGCTGGATTTGAATTTAGGTTCTCTTGACTCCAAGGCCAGAGCTCTATCCAAAGCACCACCTAGCTGCCCCCAGAATCATGTTTTTAAATGGATAAAATAAAATACAGAGAATTAAAAGGAAAGCAATTATATTGAAATTTGGTTATCAAAATGTTAAAGAAATTTAGAGCCCAAGTTAAGAACTGTTGAGAGTATGAGGACCTGGATTATCTTTAAGGAGAATAGGACACAAGACTATTTCTTCTGGAATTTGGAGCATGGCACAAAAGCACTATGAGATGGCTAGGTAGAGCAGTAGATAAAGTTGGATTCTAGAAAAACTGAATTCAAATCTCACCCCAAATATTTACTAGTTGTGTGACCCTGGACTAGTCATTTAATCTCTCTCTGCCTTAGTTTCTTTAGATGCAAAATGGGGATAATAATAGGACCCACCTTAGGGTTTCTGTGAGCATCAAACAAAATTACATGCAAAGAATAGTGCTTTTCTAAGATACAGTGCTTTTCAAACTATAAAGCATTATAGATATGCTAGGTTTTATTATTATTAATAATAAGGTATGAATCTCATCATTTCCTCAATAAACAAAATTTGATCAAGGGAAAAGAAAAGAGCATGTTGAAAGGCAAAGTGGTATGGTGGGAAGAACTCTAGACCCCATTGTCAGGAGAAAGAAGGGTTTGTACTTGCTATGTGAGCGTGGACGAGTCACTTAATTTCCCTGAGCCTCAGTTTCACTCTCTGTAAAAAGACTAACCAACTATAATACATATGATACCTACCTCCCAGTAAAATATAAGTTTCTGGAGAGTAAGGACTTTTCATTTTTGTCCTTGTTATCTCCAGTGCCTTGCACAGGGACACACAGTAGATGCTTAGTAAAGGCTTATTATATTGAATTGAATTGTTATTCAACTGGTAGAAAGAACAAATGAGTTAGTGCCTGTAAAGTGCTTTGTGATCATCATTGGCATTAACACCAATGGCAGGTGTGATTCTTAGGGAACACCCACAGCTGGCAGTAAACAGCAGCATCTTTGAGAGAAGGCTTGAGAGTCTGCAGTAGCTGTGGTCATGTTCACTTGGGGTGAAGTCAGAGGATGGGCTAGGCAGGGTGGGTACGATGCTAACCTGGCTCTCCTTTCCCTTCCCATCAGGGACACATGTGATGGAGGGCTCTGGCAGGATGCTGGTCACCGCTGTGGGAGTGAACTCTCAGACTGGCATCATCTTCACCTTGCTGGGGGCTGGTGGTGAAGAGGAAGAAAAGAAAGACAAGAAAGGTAACTCCCCTCCCCTGTCACTAGTTGTTCCTAAATCCAACGTGTGCCATTCTTTTAGGAACTTGGCTGGGGGCAGCCAAGGAAATACTTTGCACAGTATCATTCACTCTCAGGTGCAGGCAAATGCCTTCAGCACTTAGACCAGCTGTGTCGTGTTCTGCCCTTAGGCAATGGACTCTCTTTTTTTTTGGTAATAGTTTTTTTGTCTTGTCATGTTATGTCATATCATTCAGCCCACCTAAGTGTTTTTTTTTTTTTTTGTTCTTGTCTGTGCCAGCTGGGGCTGCTGATACCATGCTCTGGACTGACCCATCATTCTATCTATACTTTTTGTATTGATTGGAACTACAGAGTTACCTAAATTCATCCTGCTTTCCATTTGACCTTGTATGCTTCACATATAGCAATCCTTAACCACTCCCTCTCCACCCAGATTAAACAGGAAGGTTAAACCTTCCCATAACTCGTCAGAGGACACAACTCAATCTTGTGATTTCTCGGATGATGATGACTCTGCATGACAATGGTCATCCTCCTAGGCTGAGTCAGTACCAGTTACTATGAAGGGGAGAGTTCAACCATCATGCAAGAGAACTGAGACAGAGAAGGAATTAGGAGTATGAGTAGGTCATGTGAAGAGCTAAAAATGATACAACAAGGTCACCACCCATCTTAGAAAGTCCTCAAAACATTGCTCATCCTCCCTCTTGGTGGTACTAGTACAGATGCAGCCTGGATCTGCTTCTTGTAGTGGTGATCTTGATTGGCTGTGAGTACTCTAGGACATGGGAAAGAAACAATGAATCAAGGCCTGGGTGAGTGAACCCTTACTGGCTCTTCTTAGGACCACAGGCCTCCATGAGGGAGATTTAAATTTGACTCTTTCCCGCCTTCAAAAGAAAATACAAAATGGTGGCTGAGCTAGTAAGTTTCTTCTGTGACAAGAAAAAGTGGTGGCCAGCACAGGAGGGGCACTTTTGTTGTTCTCTAAGGCCTCTCTAAGCATCTTCAGACTCCCAATCTCTTAGGCTGCTTACAGGTGGAATTCCAGACTATTTAGAATTAATAAACTTTCTCCCAGCTGTTTTCCCTTTTAATATGCTCTCATACTTCCTGACCTTTGTTAGGGAAAACAGTTTTTGCCAAATTCCCAGTTATTCCCAATTGCTTTCTTTACTCACAAAGCTTAGTAAAACTCTCACATTTGGGCTTTGTGAGATTACAGTCTGAAGGCTGACAGAGATGTTTTAGTAAGATCTTGTTTTACAGCTCCCCACAGAAGGATGTGCTTGATCACAGACAGCCTACCATCTCCCACCCATCCTCCCCTCTTAGTCTACCTAGGGAGTGGGTAGTTCTCTGTGACCAATGGCCATTGCTGAAACCCAAGAGGCAGCCCAGCTGCATCTAACCAGCAGGGATAGATATTTCAGAGACAAGGACATGAATGGCAGCCTGCTTGAAGGAGGAGATAGAGTGGCTACATACACGATCCATATGCTGAGGAAGCTAGGACAAGCCAGTACTTTTGTCCTGTTTTTCCTTGGTGTCCCTAAAGGGAGCATTGCAGAACCTCATTTTATAATGAGGGCTTTTGAATGAAGAACATTGACCTTGAAGCTTGGGTGAGTCACTTCTCTCTGGACCTCAATTTCCTCCTCTAAAGCGAGGGGGTTAGACTAGATGAACTCTTGGGTACTTTCTGTCTCCAAATCTAGGACCCTATGTTCTTACCCTGTCCCAGGAAGTTTATTACTGGAAATATCCAAAATATATTGTGTTCTTTCCTATAGTTCTAAGACATGGACTCCAAGTCATGTACCCCCTGAAGGGGGGCATTTTGGTGAGGTTCTAGGATTTGATAGGAATGGGTCCTTTTTCCATTCTTGAGCCTATTCAGCTTGGTCCTGAATCATGAGAGAGAAGACATGCTAGGGGCAGGGCTGGAACTCAGAGAGGTGCATTGAGTCAAGAAACTACAGAAGATTTCTCTGGAGCAGCCATTGTAGGGAGATAGAGCTCCCTTCTTCCCACACTGCCACCACTATCAGGTGCAACATGCCCCTTTCTTCAGAAACCTGTCATAAATGATGCCCACTTACCATTTTACATTTCAGTTTGACCCAGGTGTGTGAGCATGTGTATATGTGTGTGTTGGTGTATGTTAGAAAGAGAAAGTATATATGTGTATATATGTTAGAGATAGAGTGTGTGGGTGCAGAGAGAGAGAGAGAGAGAGAGAGAGAGAGAGAGAGAGAGAGAGAG